ATTCCTGAGTTTTATTTAAAAATGAACTTTGTGTTAAGATGTATAATCAGATATACATATAATAAGGATTTTCTTTGATCGCCAGCATTAAATGAAATTAATAAAAGCACTACCAATGGCTAGATATACACATTTATAGTATCTCTACCAAACTCTAATGAAAATGTCAATATTATAAAAATCCTTAGAGATGAAAACCTTTAGTCAAAAAATGAATAAAATTAAGAAGTAAAACTCAAAATTGATATTGTTCGATAGTTGGTAGGTTACTAAATCTGTTTGAGCTTCAGTTTTCTTATCTGTATCATGCCATCTACATAGATCTGTTATGATGATTAAATACAACTACATATATTTAATGTATAAGGTTTAATGTATTATATAATGTATACATTTGATAAGTATCAAGTACTATTTAATTTTTGATAACTTAAATATATGAAATGGTAAAATACTTAATGCAGCTTCAAAAATGAAAATCTAAGGCTGATTGCCCAGTAAACTATTGAGTAGATTAAACTGAAAATTATGGGAAAAGAAAATGATTTTAGTAATTTAAGACCCTGAATTAAAAATCCAAAATGATAGGAAACTTACTGAAAATCATATTAATCATAAAAATGTTTGGGGGACTCCAAGATGGTGGCTGACAAGAAGGCAGTGAGGGAGATAGTGTGAGTGAGTGAGAGAGTGAAAGGGGAGTGCGTGGACGTGTGGGGAGTGTGTGTATATGTGAGTGAGGGACAGCTATATTCCGTAGGACTGTTGGGGACTGGAGGACCAGACTCTCCTTGCTGGGCAGCCTCTACTACAATTGAAATCTCCCGCAGGGCAGCCCTCTCTGCTGCAAAGACCATGCCATCTTGAAGGGGGGAGCTGCTGTGATTGGAAGCCCAGCCTTAACTTCACCCAGGGAGACCTCATATAACACCCGGGATCCTACAGCCACAATGCCCAGGGTCCAGCTGCCTGGGCTGTGAACGCATGAACACAGAGACTCCATTTCCCCCAACCACAGCCACCTACAAAATTTGTCCAGTGGGAGACAAGGCGGCGGCAGAATAGATGGGCGAGTCCTGCACGTTCTTACAGAGCATATAGAAGAAACAGCTGAATCGAATAACATCCAAATGGAATTGGTAAGTTAAACACAGCTGGAAAGGTCAGAGATTGCCTGGAAAGAGGTGGGATCAGGGGTCTGGGTTGGAGGAAGAAATGATTGCAGCTGGGACTAGAGACTCAGAGGGAGACTACACTGCACCAAATTCACATCCCTTGGTGTCAGTGTACCCCTTGAATGTGGAAGGGGATCCATAGGCCTGATGGCAGTGGGGGACTCTAGTTCTAAACCCACAGCTGTGGGAGGCTGCACCCAGAAAGGCAGCCTGAAGTTCTACATTGGCCATGCACTGCCAGGGTGGATAAAGATGCGAGGAAGTGTGGTTGCTCTGTCTTTATAATTTACATGCTTTTACTTGCTAAACCCAGTGCATAGGAACTTTCAATTAAAAACACTCTCCGAGACTGCAGGGAAAGGTGGTTTTTGTGGAAACTGGGGAGCAGAATAGGGAGAAATGATCAGGAATCCAGCTCTGGGACAGACCATCCCTCCAATCCTGAATATGCATTTTTCTCCTGAAGACTTGGCTCCTCCTAGCAGCGCTGCCACACCCAGTCTTGAGCTTGGCAGGGAATACCCCAGGGAGCCCTGGGGGGCTGGGTTGAGGAGCCATTTGATCCCAGAAACTAATACAGAAACACAGCCACCTAGGGGCCATGTCAGCAATAGCCGCTTGTGTAAACATGACTGAAAGCACGCAGAAAAACAAAGTGGGCAGATTTATCCCTCCTGCATGAAACCAAGGTTTTGGCATATAACACAGAGGAGCGGTGGATTGCTGGGAACTTCAACACTGTGATGACTACCTGACAGGAAACTGAGATGTGGTAGGCAGAACAGTTAGAGAGGCGTCTTAAACCAGCACTCATGGGACATTGAAGCTCCGCTGAGCAAACAAACTTCACTACTTCACTCTTTTATTTTTTATCTTTTACTTAAGAAAGTAAATCTTTTCACTTTATTTTATTATTTTTTATTTATTATTATTATTTTGCTTTATTTTTTATATTTTTTGATTTAGTGTTCTACATTCTTTTTTATCATTATTACTCTATATCTTTTTTTCCTTTATAGCAACATTTTCTTCCTCACTTTTCCCTTTCTCATCCTGTTTCTCTTCTGTTCCTGCTGTAGTTTCTCTCTATCCTCTTATTTTAATCCATGTTAAAAACTGATCTTCTTTATCTGCTTTATCGATGCATTACTATTAAAGAAATCCCTGATGGCCTACACATATATATAATTCCCTCTCCCCTGCTCCAAGTCCATGCACACTTCTCTTTTCTCTTTCTCCACTAGCCAATTTTTGTTGTTATTTGCTTGTTTGTTAGTTTGTTTTTGTTGTTTTATTTCATGTTTTGTTTTGCCTCTCCTCTCCTGTTCTCTTTTTCTACTAATACCTTAATTAATTTCAATCACCAACTCGGGCCTATCTACTCTCTAGTCTCCTTTTTCAATAATAGATGAATACATAGATATATTAAAGAAAGGTAAAATTTATATATATATATATATATTCTTTTATGTATATAAGTATATAAAATGATTTAATATAAATATTTTTAATTATTATTTTCTCAATTATTGTTTTCTATTATATTTTTGAGTATTTTGTTTTCTACTTTTCTTTTTATACACTCATTCTCTTTCTTCCTCTTCTACACCGAATCGTGGCCATTTCCCATTCATTCAATTCCTTTACCTTACCTTCTGGAAATAAGCTCTGTCTCTTCAGATTAAGCTTCCCTCCTTCTTTTCTGGGTGTTTGTTGCTTGCATTTTGGGAATTAGTTGTTGCTTTTTTAGTTTTCTCCCCATATAGATATATTGTTTCCCTTCTTCCCCTTCTTTTTCCTTCTTTTTCTTGTCTCTCTTGCCTTTTTTCCTTTACTCAATATTATTTTTGCACTCTTTTCTCTCCCTTAATTCTCTTTTCTCTGATGGTCACCTTTATTTGGGGTTATGGTATCATGAATATATTTGTGTTTTGTGCCCTCTGTGTTGTCTTGTTGAGTTGTATTTTTTGCCTTTAATTCAATGTAGTAGACAGTGAGCCACATAACCAGGTAACCTGAGAGGAGCAAAATGGGGAGACAATGAAACAGCGCCAAAATGAAAGAAAAAGAGGAATTACTGGAAAAAAGAAATAAACAAAATGGAGGCAAGCAATTTGTCAGAGAAAGAATTTAGAGCAATGGTTATAAGGACGCTGAGAGGGATAGAAGACAAATTCAACAACATATGTAAGAATTAAGAGGAAATGAAGAAGAAATGCAGAATGACATCATTGCAATGAAGAACAAAATATAAAGCATCAACAGTAGACTAGAAGAAGCTGAGGACCATATCAGTGAGCTAGAAGAAAAGGTAGGAAAAAATAGCCAAGCAGAGCAGCAACTGAATAAAAAACAACTTATAAAACATGAGGAGAGCCTAAGGGAGCTTTGGGACAATACAAAACAAAACCACATCAGCACAATAGGTATGCCAGAAGGAGACAAAACAGAGCAAGGGCAGAAAACCTGTTTGAAGAAATAATGACAGAAAACTTCCCTGATATTGGGAAGAAAAAGCTTACACAAGTCCAAGAAGCTCACAAAGTCCCAAACAAGATTAACTGAAAAAAATAGAAACCAAGACACATTATACTTAAATTGGAAAACACCAAAAACAAAATAAGAAGCATAAAGGCTGCCAGAAAGAGACAGAAAGTTACTGATAAAGGATCACCTATCAGATTATCAACTGATTTCTCAACAGAAACACATCAGACCAGAAGGGAATGGAATGAAATATACAAAGTCATGCAAAGCAAGGGTCTGAATCCAAAAATACCATACCCAGCAAGGCAATCATTCAAAATTGAAGATGAAATCAGGAACTTCACAGCCAAAAAAGAACTAAGGGGGTTTATTACTATCAAACTAGCAATGAAATAAATGGTAAAGGGACTGCTGTACAAAGAAGAAATAGAAGGGAAGAAGGAACACAGGCATAAAGAATAAAAATTGCAACAAACAAGTACTATCAAAATAACTGTAAATGTAAATGGATTAAATGCCACACTCAAAAGACATAGTGTAGCTGAATGGATAAGAAAACATGACTCATATATCTGCTTGTCTACAGGAGACCCACATCATAACAAAGGACACAAACAGATTGATAGGGGAATGGTGAAAAAACATTTTTTTAGGTTAATTGAAATGAAAAAAATCTGGGATAGCAATACTTATATCTGACAAATTAGACATCAAAGTGAAGGCCATAACAAGAGATAAGGAAGGCCACTTCATAATACTAAAGAGAGCAATCCAACAAGAAGAAATAACACTGGTAAACATATATGCACCCAATACAGGAGCACCCAAATACATAAAAAAAAAAACTTCTGGAGGATATCAAGGGAGAGATTGAAAGCAATACAATCATAATAGGGGACTTTAATACCCCACCAACACCACTGGATAAATCCTCTTAAAAAAATCAGCAAGGAAACATCAATCCTAAATGACTCACTACATCAGATGGAATTAATTGACATTTTCAGGACATTTCACCTCAAAGCCACAGAATATACATTCTTCTCAAGTGCACACAGGACATTTTCAAAGATTGACCACATATTGGGACAAAGGCAAAGTATCTTAAAATTCAATAAGATAGAAATCATAGCAAGCATCTTCTCAGATCACAATAGCTGAAATTAGAAATCAATTACAATAAAGACAATGAAAAGAAAATCAAACACTTGGAGGCTAAATAGCATGCTACTAAACAATGATTTCATTACCAAAGAGATAAAAGAAGAAATAAAAAGTATCCTGGTAAAAAATGGCGATAAAAACACAACAATCCAAAGTCTATGGGACACAATGAAGGCAGTCCTGAGAGGTAAGTTCATAGCTCTACCAGCCTACCTCAAAAAACAACAACAAAAAAATTGTAATAAGTCGTCTAACTCTACAACTTAAAGAAAAATGGTAAAATTATCTAATCCTACAACTCAAAGAATTCTTAAAGAGAACAACAAGAAAATTCCAGATCAGAGTGGAAATGACATAGAGAACAACAACAAAAAATCAACAAAACCATGAGCTGGCTCCTTGAAAGGATAAAGAAGATAAATGAATCTCTAGCCAGGCTCACCAAGAAGCAAAGGGAGAGGACCCAAATAAACAAAATCAGAAATGAAAGAGATGAAGTAACAACCAATCCCACAGAAATAAAAAAGATTATGAAAAAATACTTTGAAGAACTCTATTCCAACAAACTGGACAACCTAGATGAAATGGACATATTCTTAGAAAAATACAAGTTCCAAAAACTCAATTGGGAAGAATGAATAGGCCGATAACTACTGAAGATATTGAAGCAATATTCAAAAATCTTCCAGTAAAAGAAACAAAAAAACAAAACAAAACAAAAACAAACAAACAAAAAAACAAAACCCTGGTTCGGATGGCTTTACAGGGGAGTTCTACCAAGCATTCAAAGAAGAACTAAAACCTATCCTCCTCAGACTATTCCAAAAAATTCCAGAGGAAAGCACACTTCCAAGCTCCTTCTATGAAGCCAGCATTACCCTTATCCCAAAACCAGATGAAGACACCACAAAAAAAGAAATACAGGACAATATCCTTGATGAACATAGATGCTCAAATCCTCAACAACATTCTAGCAAATCTGATCCAGCATTACATTAGAAAGATCATACACCACAACAAAGGGAATTTATTCTGGGGTGCAATGATAGTATAATATCTGCAAATCAATAAATGTGATACATCACGTAAAGAAATTAAAAGCCAAAACCAATATAATCATACCAATTGAGGCAGGAAAAGCATTTGACAAAACCCAACACCCTTTCTTGATAAAAACTCGCAGCAAAGTGGGAATAGAGGGATGATACCTTAACATAATAAAAGACTATATGACAAAACTACAGTCAACAACATACTCAATGGCCAAAAACTAAATCCATGTTCCCTAAGATCAGGAACAAGACAGGGGTGCCCACTTTCTCCACTTCTTTTCAATATAGTACTGGAAGTGCTAGCCATAGCAATCAGACAAGAAGAAATAAGAAACACCCAAATGGAAAAGAAGTAAAACTGTCCTTATTTGCAGATGACATGATATTATACATAGAAAACCCCAAAGACTCCATCAAAGAACTACTAGACTTATAAATGAATTTGAATTTAACAATTTAGCAGGATACAAAATTAACACCCAGAAGTCTATGGCCTTTTTATATACCAATTAGAGGCCCGGTGCATGAAATTCATGCACTGATGGGGAGGGTCCCTCAGCCCAGCCTGCCCCATCTCACAGTCTAGGAGCCCTCAGGGGATGTCCTACTGATGGCTTAGGCCCGCTCCCTCTGCGAAAGGCAACCGGGCTGATTAGGGGAAGTAGCCACCCCCATCACCTCGCTGCTGTTGCCACTGCCAGCCACTGCAGCCACCAAGGTGTTTTCATCAACACAGACGGTAGTACCTTCACCACAAAAAAATGATTGATTTCTTTAGGCATTTTCAAGATGTCGCTTTCATAGGATATTACATTCTTTTCTTTCTTTTTTTTGTATCTTCACCTGAGGATATTTTTCCATTGAATTTTAGAGAGTGTGGAAGAGAGGGAAAGATAGAAACATGAATGTGAGAGGGACACTTTGATTGGTTGCCTCCTGCATGAGCCCTGACCTGAGCCCCTGCCAGGAAGGAGCCTGCAAGCTAGGCACATGACCTTGACCAGAATCAAACCCATACCCTGCAGTCTGCAGGCCAAGGCTCTATCCACTGAGCAAAACTGGCTAAGGCAGGATATGACATTTCTTAGCCTCTGCAACAACAAACCTTCATTTTTTCCTCCAGGAGTGAGGTGAAAAAGCCCTAGATGACTTTCTTGGATTCTTTTATTTTTTAATATATTTTATTGATTATTTTACAGAGAGGAAGGGAGAGAGATAGAGAGAGTTAGAAACATCGATGAGAGAGAAACATCGACCAGCTGCCTCTTGCACATCTCCTATTGGGGATGTGGCCGCAACCCAGGTACATGCCCTTGACCGGAATCGAACCTGGGACCTTTCAGTCCGCAGGCCGACGCTCTATCCACTGAGCCAAACCGGTTTCGGCTCTTGGATTCTTATTATCCAACTTATCAAGAACACCCCAAGTGGTGTAACAGGAGCTTAGCCAATGAGTGGTGAGAAAGGGTGTTTCCTTTGCAGCTCCCACACAGAGGCAGACCTGTGGGTACACTATGGCTGGCAGGACTCCCTCTCTCTGAGCCACTTGCCACCACTGTGGCAGTTGGCAGGCCCCCCTGTCTCTGGGTCTGCACCATCAGTGGCATGCCTCACCATGCACGCAGTCCCCTCCCACCCACCTGTTCTTGCAGCCTCCTCCTGTGCTGTCCTGATATTATCACATCCCGGACAATTTGCATATTTCTTCTTTATGTATATATAGATAATGAACTCACAGAAAGTGAAACTAAAAAAGCAATTCCATTTACCATTGCACCAAAAAATTAAGATACCTAGGAATAAACTTAACCAAGGTGGTGTAAGACCTGTACTAGGAAAACTACAGGACACTGAAAAAAGAGATATAGGAAGAAATCAACAAATGAAAGAACATACCATGTTCATGAATTGGAAGAATCAATATCATTAAAATGTCCATACTGCCCAAAGCAATCTACAGATTCAATGCAATCCCTGTTAAAATGGCAATGGCATATTTTAAAGATCTAGAACAAGCCCTCCAAAAATTCATCTGGAATAAGAAAAAGACCCTAAATAACCACAGTACTCCTGAAAATGAATTACAAAGTTGGAGGGATCTCAATACCAGATATAAAGCTATATTACAAAGCCAAAGTTCTCAAAAAGTCCTGGTAGTGGCTCAAGAACAGACATATAGACCAATAGAACAGAATAGATTACACCATATACAAAAACAAACTCAAAATGGTTAAAGGACTTAAATGTAAGACCAGAAATCATAAAAATCTTAGAAGACTCCATAGGCAGCAAAATATTACACAAATGTAGTAGTAATATCTTTACTGATACAGCTCCTAGGGAAATGGAAACTAAGGAGAAAATAAACAAATGTACTACAACAAAATAAAAAGTTCTGCACACCAAAATAAACCATCAAGAAAACAACAAGAAACCCCACTGCATGGAAGAACATATTTGCTAATGCTATTTCAGATAATGGTTTAATCTCCAAAATTTACATAGAAGTCATACAACTTAACAAAATTTAGATAAACAACCCAATCAAAATAATGGGCAAAGGACCTAATTAGACACTTTCAAAAGAGGACATACAGACAGTTGAGAGACATATGAAAACAAGCTCAAAGTCACTAATCATCTGAGAGATGCAAATCAAAATGACAATGAGGTACTATCTCACACCTGTCAGAATGGCTGTCATCAACCAATCAACAAATGGCAAGTGCTAGGGAGGATGTGGAGAAAAATGAACCCTCTGAATCTATAAAAAAAATTTAAAAAAGAAACATAAGAAATAAAAAATAAATAAAAGAAAAAGATACCATAGTTCATTGCTGGTGGGAATGCACACAGGTGTAGCCACTGTGGAAAGCAATATGGAGTTTCCTCAAAAAATTAAAAATGGAACTTCTACTTGACTCTCTAATCTCATTTCTAGGACTATTTCTGAAGAAACCAGAAACACCAATCAGAAAGGATATATGCACCCCTATGTTCAGAGCAGTACAATTTACAATAGCTAAGATTTGGAAACAGTCTAAGTGCCCATCAGCAGATGCGTGGATTAAAAAACTTTGGTACATCTACACAATGTAATACTATGCCGCTATAAAAAAAGAAGGAACCTTTACCATTTGCAACAACTTGGATGGAACTAAAGAGCATTATGCTAAGTGAAATAAGTCATTAGAGAAAGATATATGTCACATGATCTCACTCATATGTGGGATATAATGATAACATAAACTGATGAGCAAGAATACATCCAGAGACAAATGGCAGGGAGGGGGGTTAGAGAGCATCCAAGGACTTGTATGCATGCATATTAGCATAACCAATGGACACAGACACTGGGGCAGCGAGGTCTTGCCTGGGGTGGCAATGGCTGGGGTGGGGGGTCAATTGGGGGAAAAGGAGACTTATGTAAAAGTAATACTTTAAACAATTGAAAAAAGTTTTTTTATTCACTCATGAA